TCTAGCCCCATGGCTTAGAACCCGCCTAGTATATCTACTGTCAATGACTAAAATGACCGGACACGTACCTTTTGTTTTCAAGAACAGCCTATAAAAAGCCTAGAAAAAGGATCAAAATTCCTGACACCGGGTGTTCCATTGTAAGTATAATTTTAAGAAATCCACATTGCTTCTTCGTGCAAACTATTAATTGGTCTATGGACTACTATTTCATAAAAATACAAATTGCACAGCTTTTATATGAAGCAAACATTATTACGAAGTAACAACTGGAGCATCATATTAGACAAGGAAATGATAAAGAAAATCTCAGTTTCGAAACTTTTTGTCGTTCTTAGCATTAAAATTCTACTTCGCAGATACGCATTAATCCGTATTCTTTGATCTTGGAAAAGGATTTTCGAAGGAGTAAAAAGAAAAAAGTAATTGTTATACAAAAATTATATGTGTTTCGGTAATTCAGATGACTTTAGAATTCACTTCCTTCTTAAGAGACCCACTCTCCCTCTGCTTAAGTGCAAAATATCTTTGTACATGTTGGAAGCACGCTCTCAATACCATTGACATAGAGGGCGAGACGTGTGTTACCGGCCGAAGAGCGAGTTAGAGGAAGGTGCCGGAAGGGCCGCGTGTGAACGGAAGAAGACGAGATTGGATCGCGAGCAGAGAAAGTGCGGCCCGTTTCTCTCCATCATAACTTTTGCCTTTTTACTGCCATTGTTACTACGTATAATCCGAGCCGTATGCTCTCAATGTTTTGCAATATAGTAGCGTGTTCGTGTAAAATAAGAAGAAGTGTCTAATATTATTGAGAACCTTACGATCCCGAAACCGCGGCTGCAACATTCTGGCGACCGTGACAGGACTGAGAAATTTCGTTGTAGCCGTTTATAGCAAGCAGAGATCGTAAGAAAGTAATCCATAGATATGGAATAAGTAAAGTTAACGCTAAAAATAACACGATCCGCCTTTACGAGAGTGCACTTCCTTCCGGACTGAGCAGTCAAAGGAATCGCCGGACATAACCTTGCAAGTCAGCTTCGCGTTGCTACGAGACAAAACGAGTGAGCTTAATGAGCTAAATCAGAAGCTGCAGTTGCAGACTTTGATGATCGAAACTGGAGAGTCTGAAGAAACCATTGGAAGAGAGATACAACACGCAGATGAGTATGCCAAGAAATACCATCAAGCAAAGGTCGGGCTAACCTGTCTTTTAGAGCGGAAGAATGAACTCGAAACGTCGACACCGGTTCCGCTACCACGACAACACAGGAGAGTATACGTGCATTGAAATTGCCGAAAATTGAATTAAGAAAGTTTGGCGGTGATATCAAGGATTGGCTTCCGTTTTGGAGTACTTTTAAGAAAATTCATAAAGACGCGACGTTGTCGAGGGAAGATAAATTCCAATATTTGGTACAGTCTATGGTAAAAGACTCGCGCGC